CGTCACTTAATTTTGTTCATCTTCCATGTCTCACAACCATACATCAAGAATGGTTTAACCAGAATCTTGTATAGCCTGATTTTGGTTCAAAGTGAAACTTGTATTAATAAGCAGACCCCATATTAAGCGGACACCCTCTATTAAGTGGACACCAGCTGAAGTGCCTAAATTTTCCTCTCACATTTTCTGTAAAATAAACCTGCTTTCAGCGGACACCTCCATTAAGCGGACGTGGACACCAACATTAAGCCATTTTGTTGCACAAAACCTGAGATAAGCGGACGCTTCAAGGGCTTTCTACTTCTGAAAACTCAGCTTAGACTCCTTTAACATTGTTCAGCAATGCCATTTTAAAGCTAAGTAGATAATTCCAGATCGATGCATTGACTGACTGGACATTGTGCTATATTGAGCAGTCTTTGATCTACACTGTGTTACAATGTGTTACAAAAGGATTAATAATTAACTATTATTGCTGAACCTGTTTAGAGCAGACGCTCTGTATTATGCAGACATTAGTGAATGTCCCAAGGATTTCTGCTTAATACAGATTTCACTGTACTGCTCCAGATCATCCTCAATCTCATAAACACCTTTTTGGCTTTGATTTCTCTAATGTGGATGCCTTGTGTGCCTCCACCTTCCTTGGAAATTGTAGCTCTCAGATACACAAACTTTTCAACGTCCCCTATCCCTTGCCCATTCACTTTCACTGCATAATTTATTTGAGAATTTATTCATATCAGCAATCACCTTGCAGGTATTGGTTTATCCTGCTTACCCTCTGGAATGGAGTTAGCCATATAAAAATATTAATGTTAGTAATGTTTTGATTGTTTGTTTGTTTATTGTTAGGGCATGGGCACGCTTTTCAAATGAGATGGTGCACAACATCCAATGAAGAACAATCCAAATGCAATGATTTTAAAGATGTGTTGATGAAAATAGATAATGCTGCCACACCTGAATGCGTGCAGGCTGAAAATGCTGTTGAATGCATGAAAAAAATCGAAAAAGGAGAGGCAGATTTGATTACCCTGGATGGTGGAGATGTATATAAAGCAGGTAAAACTCAGTAGCTGTTGGAAACAAGAACAAAAGAATTTTGTCAAGTGTTAATCGTAGATACATACATGTTTGCTAGGTGTTGCAACCACCCATCACCTGCAACATGTATGCAGTGTAATTTTAGTTTGGTAAAAATATATTGCCAGGGAATTTAAGGGGAAAACTTTAATATCAGTTATGATGAGTGAGTTTGCAAGAAAAAGAATACTCAACCAAGAGATGTTTTGCTTTACACTTTCTTTTGCAGTAGTAATTCGGTGTGTGTTTGTTTCATCAGTATTTGTACATCGGTACACCACCTATGGAAAGCTTAGTTGCAAATGTACCAGCAAATCGTGCACTACACAGGTGCTACCCAAACATTGGTTGATTTCATTGGTAGTTTTATAGTGTACCTGGAGAAAGTTGATCCTATCATGTACAAACACAGTTGATCAAAGAGAATGATAAGAGTGTGAGTCAGTCTGACCTATTGCAGTAACAAACACAAACTGAATAAACTCACTGTGAGTGAGTAATTTCTCACTCGGTAGGTTCAATCTCAATCTCAATTCTTTTTGGAAGTCATTGCAATGTTTTTTTTTGAAAGGTTTGTACGAGGTGTAATACAAAAAAGCTTGATCAGAGAGTTGTTTACTACTCCTGAAGCGAGCAAAAGCCAGTTAT